AAATAATAAAGACAAAGACATTTGCAAAGATTTATTTTTAAGTTGGCAAAATCGAATCAAAGTATTACCAAAGGATTACTAATTAATAAGTAAAATAATGTTTTTATAATCTTATCAACTAATATACTTTTTTTTTACTTTTGAATAAACTTATTAATTCTTACTGATATAGTGATTATATTGATCATATAATTTAACTTATCTAACATTTACTTAATATACATTTTTAAAAATTTGAAAAGAAACTATTAATTTGTTTAAAAAGAGAATTTAAATTGATATTTAATACAGATATTTATTTTTATTAATCATAGCCTGACAGTTAAAAAAATGAAAATAAATATGATCTGCTTATATAAAATTATCAATAAAATCAATATTTTTTGTTACTTTTATTTTACTACAAGTTGCTCATATTTGTATTTTTAATTTATGCTATTTAAAAGACTGTATAATAAGATTTTCTTTATTGATTTCAATATTACTATTATCATTACAAAGCATAATATAAGTATATTGTTATGATCATAAAATTTAACTCCTATTCTTGTATTTCTAGAATATTTACTAATACTTGATTTGCTGAAGTCTCACAAAATATATGGGAAGTTTGTTAGGAAAATAGGGCTCTAAGCATTTTTTATAAAATTTTAATTTTTATTGCATTTTAATCTAACATTATCAAACATTAAAATGCAATAAAAATTAAAATTTTAATAAAAAATACTTAGAGCCTCATTTTCCTAGCAAACCTCCTATATATTTATTTGTAAATACTTTTTCTAGGCAAATAATAATATATATGATTTTTAAATACTATGTAAAATTGATTTTTTGTAAAAAAATAAAGATTATTTATTTTTTTAGTTATTTGTATCCACTTGATAATCATTTATAAATATAAGAATTAAAGATATCTCCCTAAACTATTTTTAGAAAATTTGAGTTTTAAGATATTTAAGATAAAACTATTTGTTTATAATATATATTTTTACCTAAACTTCTAATAGGTTTTTCTAAATTCAATTAAGTTTTATCAAGTTTTAGATTTAAAAAAATCATTTTAAAGGTTTTGAAAAAATTTTTAAATTTTTAAGCTACACGTTAAAATAGGTTTTGAATAGCATTATTAATAAGAACTAAAATATCTTTAAATTGATATATAATACTTTCAAGTAAAATGTTAATATTGGAATTTAAAATATTATATTTTGTAATAATATTAAAATGCTTTGTTAATCCTTTTTTTTAAAATAGTTTTTCACACATATTGTATTCAAATCTAGTTATTGGGATTACTAAAGGTGAGAAAATATCATTATATTAGCTCATATTATCTAAATATAAAAATAAGACATATAATTAATCATAAATTTTTGGTAAAATTAAAGTATATTTAATGTACATACTTTTAGAGAAAATGGGTTTAATAGTGAAAATATGAATTTAATATGATAATATTTATTTTAGGATTCTTTTTAGCAGTAATGACAAATTAAAAAGTGAAATTTATAATAACAATAAGGTTATTTAAGGTTATTTGAGATCATTTTAAGGCCTTTTAAGGTCTTTTACCAAACCTGCTTTTTAGTATATGAGTCAGTTAATTTAATATAATGGTTACAATCTTTTATACTAATTTTTGGGTTTAGCTATTCTAGCATTAGCTCTTTTCCATTAGCTTTTATGGAAAAAATTCTCACTTTAGAGATTAAAATAAATTAATATTTTTTTTTTAATTTTGGCCGATTAATGTTATATCTGATATATTTTAATAAACTACTTATCGTTATTATATAAAAATTATAATGTTTATTTTTATTTTGGGTAAATATATATAACAAATATAAAAAAGTTACCTTTATATAGAGTTCTCATTAATTAAAGTGAATATTAGTCATCAAGTGACATCTCCTCCATCAAAGAGGCCTTATCATGAAGAACAAATCAGGATTCTCAATTATTTAAAAATCTATTTCATCATCCCATCCAATATCATCTCCTCAATCATCAACCCGTTATTATCTCGTTCTTGTTCTTTGAATTTACTTTTCTTTTGATGGATGGGAAAAAAAGAAACACATCCATTTCATTATGAAAATGTAATTTAATTCTGTGCACAAAAAAACGCCCAATCCTTAGTCCGAAATTTCCCTTTATACTACTATATACACCATTTCTGAACATTAAACTGAAAATAAATTCAACATTTATCTTGTAAAATAAAATGATAAAAACTTTATCTTTTGTTACTTTATTGGTTTATTTTTATAACATTTTTTAAAGTTACATGATATATTAGATGATAATCATCAGACGCGTATACTGTCAATAATATGGAAGAATGGATGCTAAACATATAGCTTAATTTTTTGTATCAGTGTCAATATGAGTCAAGTGATTTTTGATATTTAAGACTCTTCCATACGCGTTAAACTATCTGAAACATTTATTATTCTTGTGAAAAAAATTCTTGAAAACTAAACATGAGCGCACCCGAGAGCTACCCTGACCGAAATGGTAAGTCCTGTGAATGGTATTTCGATTGTAATATTTAACTCTAACCTACCGTTCTATTTCTAGTCCTTGTCTCATACTTTGAGGTACGGGAAAAATGGTCTTATCATGGGTTCTTGAAACTAAATCGCGACGTCATTATCTCTTCGTCCTTTTCGAATGACTGTCGTGAACTTGACAGGTACTGGGCTATTCACTTTCTGGAAGTCTCCGAGGAACTTTTGGATCAAACAACCTTTGTAGCTCTGAAGGAAAAGGTGTGTTTTTTTTTTATTTTGCAAAGGAAAGGTAACTCCTAGTTCACTTTCATATTAGAGGGTTTGACTCAGGAGAATTACTGGCTTGACACACTTGGTATCCACTCCAAGCTCTCAATTCAGGCGCCCTAAATTTGTTGTTGATAAAGGTCTGTTAGTTCTGGAAGAGGAACTAGCTATGTACCTTTCCTTATTACCAAATAAAAAAGTTAGCGCACTATCACATTGCTAACAAGCTTCTTTCTCACAACAGGTAAAGACAGAACGTTCACGTTATGCGAAAAAATTACAAAAATACTGGCAGGGAGTTATCAAGGAACGCGAAAAAGAGAACCTAGCGCCTGCTGTTGCATCTCCAAATCTTGAACTTATCAACTTCTGTTGTGACGTTCTTCGTGAACTTGAAAATAACTCTTGTGCTCATATGTTTTATAAATATGTTGAAAAGGAGGTTTCAGTAAAGCATCCGATGGATTTATTTACTATAAATTCAAAGTTAAAAAATAATCAATACACAAGTACAAACGAATTCGAGAAAGATATTCGTTTAATATTTCGTAATTGTTATTCATATAATTATATTGAAAGTGAGATTTATCAATCGGCTGAAAAATTAGAATCTATTTTCAACATAACTTGGACTGAAAAATTTGAACAAAAGGGAGAACGGAAAAGAGCAAGAGACGATGCTGACACAGAATCTTCTGGTAAGTCATGATGTTTACATTACCTTTTTGCATTTATGTTATTAACTCGTGTTCAATAACCATCCATTAGAACAATGGAAGAAACAGAGCCGAATCCTAGAACAAAATAAGGATAAGGCGGTGTTCAGAAATGTTATCGATGATGGCTTCCGTGTTGCTTCGGCACATGAAAACCTTATTGCTGGAAATGTCGTGCCCTTTATTAAAGTCATCAAAACCTTCCTACGAACAAGGTCGCGCATGTCGTTATCCTCAACGAATGAGCCTGTCCTACAGGCAATTGTCGAGAGTCTTCTACCTTCAAGATATCGCATCCCAGAACTTTCTTTGGTAATGGACGGCGTAAAGTTAAAGGGTGAAGGTCGCTTTGGTTTTTCAGACGTCTTTGTCCTTAGTGAAACTGGGGAGAATAATGTATGTTTAGAGTTGAAATATGTACCTTTAGTTGGTCTGATGGGAAATCAGAAAAATATTGGCGCGAATGAGCTGAAAAAGCTAGATCAGACTCTCGAGAAAAAGCTCAAAGAAGATGAAAGGTCTTTGCTAAGTAGACCATACAAATATTGGTCTAAAGAAAACAGGAAAGAAAACCAGACGACCATAGGCGAGACACTTAACGGTGGAATTAATCAGTTGAAATTATACATGAGTGTGATCTCAAAAGGAAAGCCGAAAAACTATTCCAGCTTAGGTTTGCTCGATGAAAGGGTTGGAATAACTAAATCAGACCCGCCTAATGAGATACAAGGTTTTGTTATATTGGTAATCGGTTTTCGTAGTATCTTGTGGAGACGAATTGAAAACATAACATCTGATTATAAATATAAGAAGATTTTATAAGTAATTATTATTTTTTTTATTTTCATTCTTTATTAAAAGTTATATTAATTATTATTATTTTTTTTTTAAAAAAAAAACCATCTCAGTTTCAAAATCCTTCTATTCGGTCGATGACTTGTTTTATGAATTCTGTTATTCAATGTTTAAGTGGTACGGTTCCATTTGCTAGATACTTTTTGGATGGTAGTTATAAGCGACACATCAATAAGACCAATCCTTTAGGAACAAAGGAGTATTAGCCGAAGCATTTGCAACATTAATCAGTGTGTTATGGAGTGAGCAATATAATTTGTTTCTCCTGTTACATTCAAAACAGCAATTGGTCGATTTTCATCACAATTTTCTGGATGGTTTACATGAAGATTTGAATCTTATTATGAACCAACCAATTATTCCTGATATGACTCCTGAAGAAGAACAACAAATGGAACTAATGGAATGCATTTCTCCACAGATTGTATCAGAAATAGAATGGGAAAAATATTTGAGGCGTAATTCTTTAGTCTGTTTCAAGGACAATTTCGTAATATTTAACTTGTAATAAGACATCTACAACTTATAATGCATTTATGTATCTTTCCTCCAAATTATAATGGAGGGTGTGTAACTTTACATCAATGTCTTGATGCTTTTATTAAGGAGGAAATATTATATGGAGATGATGCTTGGAATTGTTCTAGATTTCGATCCTAGACGGGCAAAAAAACAACTTAGTATTTCAATGTTTTGTTGATACATTTAAAAAGATTTTCATTTATTGGACCGCTTAGAGATAAATTGGAAATTATGGTTAATTTTCCTATGAGAGATTTAGATTTAACGTCATATGTACCAATTCCTATTGAGAAACCTACGTCAATTGGATGTAACATTCAATACGAATTACCGGGCACAGGAGCTGGGAATCATAATTCTCTACAACAATCTGGACCTTTTATATATGATTTATTTGCTGCTTCGAATAATTATGGAAGGTTAAATGGTGGACATTACACTGCTTGTGTAAGAAATGGATATATACATGAATGGCACACCTTTGATGATAGTAGGGTATCAAAATATGACGAAAGTAGTGTTTTGGTGAATATAATTTTACTTTAATTTTTTTTTTTCTTATAAAAACGGGAATACTTATAATATAATCTCGTCTCGTGCGGCATGTAATTTATTTTACGTAAGAAAAAGCATTTGATGTGTATATTGGCAAACTGTGTCGGTTACACCAACCGAAAGAATTTAAATCAAGTTTGTTAAACGTGAAATGATGAGTCACATTAATGTGTACTATAGTTATTATAATTTGAATTTTTGTTAATAAACTAGTGATTTTTTTTTTCAGTATCCACCACATATTGAATGTGTCACATAAGTGCAATGAATGATGATTGTGATGGGTAGATTAATTTCTTATAATAAAAAAACATAAATAATTGATTTGATGATTTTACAGTTTTTTTTTTTTTGATGTGTATTTTTTTTTATAATTGAATTGAAAATTATGATTTTATTAAACAATTAAAAAATTTATATTTTATGATTGAAAATTATAGGGATTTAATCATAAGATGTCTTGTAATCTTTAGTATATTAGGATTATCTTTCAATCTGTTATGAATGTTAAAGTCAAGATGAGAAATCTTAACATTATTTCAGGTAAAAAGGTAATTGATTAGGCTTAACCTATAGAGAAAATATTTTGTTTCAAAGTAAGAGAAATGTTTTGTAAAGTTTAAACTTTATGTTTTAAAGTAAAGCAATTCTGTAGTAAATATTGAATTCTATAACAGTTATTCTATATAGTTAAAAGTAATGCATTTGCTTGTAAATAGTTATGTCTATTACAGAATTTCTTATAGAAAATATAACTTGAACAGAGCAATTGATAAGGTTTAAATTAAAGGTAAGAACCATAATTAATATGTTGCAACATATATTGCAATTAGTTTTGACCTATATATATTGCAACTTATAATGTTGCATCATATGTTACAACTAATTTTAGCTTATATTGCAACATGTTATAAATTTAAAATTAATTGCTACACTATCTTTAATTTAGATTTATAATAATTTTAACTGTTCTATTACATATACCTTACTTAATTAAAGAATTATTAAAACATATAACATAGACATTCAATTGTAATCTTATCAAAGAAGGCAGATTGGTTTTGCTTTAAAAAAGCTTTCAAAAAAAAAGTATCCTATGATATGAAATTTACTGAATATACACTGAATATTTGTTACGTTTTAGCAGACATAGTACCTATTAAACTTTTGTAAGATTTAATAGAATCTATTATTAGATTGTTAATATTATGAAGTTAGGAATAAAAGATAAAATTAAGTTATTGAATGAAATACAAGTTAACCTGTAATAAGTGGTAATTGAGTAAGATTATCTATTACAATTAGAATTTTTATTTGAAATTCAAATTGAATTTTAAATAAAAATATTCAAACAAATATTGAAATCATTTTAAATATTAAAATTATCTCAAATATTGAAAATTATTTTAATTTGATTTTGATTATAAAAATATATATTTTTTTTAATTTTAATATTTTTTATATTTATTTATTTTAATTAGTTTATTTATATTAAAATTATAAAAAAATTATGTTTTTTTTTTAAAATTATAAGAACTTTTTTTTTTAGAAAAAATATGCTTCTTTTGAAATTTCATCAAAGAATGTGTTCTTTTTTTTATTAATTCTTTTTGCTTTTTTTTTAATACTAATTCTTTTTTAGGAATAAGTTCTTCATTTTTTGAATAGATTAGATAAGTTTTAGGGGTTTCTTTAAAAGATAATTCCTTGATTTTTTACTAATTATTATTTTTTTTTTATCACAAAGTTGGATTAGTAAGTATTTTTTCTTTTAGTAGATTCTGATATTCTTTAAAGTTTTATTTAGATAAATTTTTTACTATTAATACTTATTTTTTTAAAGAATTTTATACACATGATTTAGAATAAAATTAAATATTGTTATCTTATGATACTAACGACTGAAAATTAGTATTGACGTAAGATTAACAAAGAATTTAGTTTTAAGACATTATAATACGATTTATGGAGAGCTTCTGAAGATTTATCGATCAAAGACAAAGTATAATTTATAGATTAAGTAATTTAGAGTTTTTATTAAAGAAAAGAATTATTACAAATGTATTTGTTTACATACAAGTATTCTAGTAATTATCTTGTTTATAATAAAACTAAGTAAATTCTTTACTTAGAAGTTCTTCTCCAAAGTTCTATGTTATTGAAGTTCTAAAGCTACCCCATTTATAAGAAATAAAATAATAATAATAAAAATATAAATAAAAATAAGAAATGTAATAATTGGTCTTTCATTGTATACCTGACATATATTACATATATGGCAGATTTAATCAATCTGGCAGATCTGCCAGTTTTGGTTGATTGGATAGATTTTGAGGATCTATCAATTTTAGCTGATTGGATGGATTTTGTGACAAGGTAAAAATCATGTGATCTATAAGATAACTTTTTAGTTTATTACAATATATATAAATTAAAAGTAACAGACATATTAATTCAGAAATCAGATATCAAGAAGAGAATTGGCATAAGTAATTTTTAGGTATAAATCTTAATTAGATGAAATAATGAACCATCTTCTTTTATTGTTACATGAATACTAAAGTTCTGCAATTTGATTTGATAATTGAATATTTGATTTGAAAATTAAATCAAATACAAATTCAAATTTACAGTGACTTACAAAAGAAACGTAAGTAGAGTTACTTGCCTTTAAAAGCTTATAACTCACCAACCACGAGTGCTAAAAATATAGTTTTGTATTTGTTTTAAACCCAAAACTTAGCTAATATTCAGTAAACATTTGAAGTATGATTATTAAGACCACTTTTACGCAATTTAGTGATCTATATCAAATATTTTCTTAATAAAATTTAAGTGTAGAAACTTTTTTCAGTAGACTGACTACCTAAAAACTGATACTGAATTCTAATTCTCCTCAGTGCAGCAATTCTAACAATTTAAAATTCGTCAAAATCAGATCAGTTTTTTTTTTTTAGATGCGGTAATATAATTTTATTAATAATAAATTTAAAATCAAATAATACAAAGTAAAAAAACTAAAGTACTATCTATATGATTCAACATAAACAAAATTATTATCTAGAGACATTAAAAAAACCTATAAAAGACCAGGTCCCTCCAAACCAGCCGGTTGTCTTGTCGAGTTCAAAAACAAATATATAAACATAAATTCTATCATGACTGTCTGTTAAAAGAAAAAGTTTGAGAATATAGAAAAATTGAAAACAACTAGCTATTACTAATCTAAGAAGTGTCTAATCCCTGCCATGAATTATAGAAAGTCTGACTAAATCAATCCAATTTGTAAAAATAGGTTGGTTGGAAAAGGATGAGGAATTAATGTGTCAATTAAAAGTAAATGTAGAAGAGCAGTTGTATTTTCTTTTTTGTTTATCAGAGATGTGTAGTATTTTTTCTTTTTCAATCATTTGTTCACATCTAGGGAGCCAAATATCGTGATGAGTCCAGTTATAAAGATACATAGTAGTATTTGAAAGGATATTAAAAGTGGTTTTTTGTGAGTTTGTAATACATTGAATATGATTGAAAAAGCACGAAGGAATAATGCCTTTAATTAGATCGATGAAGGTTAAGGAATTGTTGTTAGAGATGATAGACTAAAGTTTGTTAGTATTTAGATAATGAATTAATGCAGCAAAAGGAGTAAGTTGCAATGTGATAAGTTGATGCAGTAGAAAATTTTTGGTACAGTCCATGATATCTACTATGATTGATAAGCTAGCAGAACATAGCCAAATATGATCAAATATTTAATTTTCTAAAGCACAGCGACAACATTTCTATGAACTATGGTAAGTATGTTTTTGTGTAGATTTTAAGAATTTTACTGTGGGAAGTTGTTTAGTTAAGTATTTGACTCTTCGGCTGTATTGTTTTGAATTATCAAATGTGGTTGTATTTAAGTCTTGATGTTCTTTCAAATTGGTAAAAGTATAGAGCCAGTTTATATGAAATATTTGTATTTGAAGTTTCTTTTTAAGTAGAAGAAATCAATAAAGCCTTGAGTTGTTGAAATTGTTTTCATAAAAGATCAAACTGGATTATTAATTATGAGAATCTAAAATTTAGGGAGATATTTGACATGAGGAGCATCATCGAAAATTAATTCTATTGGAGTTTCAAATAAAGCATCTTTGACAAGAGTATCGACAAATTCGTTTCATTTGATTCCTGAGTGAGCTTTGATTTTTACAAATTTCACTTGTAATAGTTTGATATCTATTAAAAAGAAAATATAAGACCAATAAATATAGTAAGGAATTTTAAAAAGGAGTGTAAAGTAGTTCAAAATGTTTTGTTTTTTGATTTTTTTGTAAGTTTGAATTGAAGAAAGATTGTCTGTATATATTATAATATTAGAACAAGAAGGAGATAAAAGTATAACTAAAAGAATAGCCATAATTTCGGCATGAGAAGAGTTGGACCAAATAGGGTAATAGCGGTTGAAAAAGAAAATTCTAAATTATGATTTTTAATAAAAACTAAAGCAAAATTAAGATTAGTAAACAAATTATCAGAATTATATATATGAGAACCATCTGTATAAAATTCTAATGTTTGAGGGTTATTTAGATGTATTAAATAAAGTTGTTATTGAAGATGTAAAAGATGTTGATAGATAGAATGATTAACGATCAATTTTTTTAGAAAATTTGTATTATGAGAAAAATTTCTAGAGAATTCTATAATCGGTTGTGAAGAGATATTAATATTGTAAAATTTGTTATGAAGAAAAAGGGATTGATCAGAAAGTGTGAACAAAGAAGCTCTAGTTAAATAAATTTCCCTATAAGAAATCGAAATAAGGAAATGATATGTTTTTTATAAGGTTTGTATACGTAATTAATGATTCTATATCAAA